TTAACAAGTAATAAATACAACTTTAAGGGCTAGAGGTGTAGCTCAGTGGTGGTACACTTGTCTAGCACATATAAGGCCCTGTTTTTGATCTCCCAGCCATGGAAAAAATAATTCTAAAGACCTTCCTAACTTCCCTTAGAAACACACAGATGTGATTTTTGACACCAAATCAAACATTTTCAAGGCATATGAACCAATTGTACCATATTACTTACATCATACTCTCTTCGGAATGTTTAGGTGACAAGTACACAGTTAACAAGTATATGCATACGCCAGGGATTCAGCTCAGTGGTTTCGCCGCCTGCTGCGCAAGCGCAAGGACCCAAGTTCGATCCCCGGTACCAAAAAAAAAAAGTATATGCAAAATGTTTTCTTCAGCAGGCAGTTTTCACATAGAAAAAAAAAATGCCAATAGCACAAACAGAAAATGACGTTTACTATTACAGGACTTCTAAAATGTGTGGCAGAAGGCAGTTTGAGGATGACTTAGCTAATGAACTTTTCTTCCAACTGAAAATGGTCAGTATTGTCTTTGAGTATTGCTGGCTGCCTTCTCATATTCTAAACCTCTTTCTTCATTGCCAGCTCTCTTGCTTTCAAATAGCCCTGGCTAGGTTTCTGCTCAGAGTTGTTCAAATTCTACTGTACTTCCTACACTTAAACTTTTTGCAAATCTTGCTACTTAAATCTTGAAGCATCGCAGATCCCATCTAGGCCTACTTAATCAGAACTGTATTTGAACAAAATCCCCAAGCGTTTATTTTCACTCTTAAAATTAGTTTTACTGTTCATTTCATTTCAGCTTATCATCTTTATACTCAGCTATAAACTGAGGTATGGCAGTGTTCATTTTCAGCAGTTAGACAGCCAGTGTCAACCAGAAAGGAAAAAAATACTATCTCACAAAATACTGATCTTTCCCATAGTGTACACACAGAAGCAGGGATAAAGGAGGGAAACGGTTTTTGAACACTGACCTAAAATTGCTGTGATGTTATGAATCACACTCTCTTTTTCACGCTATTAGAAGTGACTCCCTTCTCTTTCATAATTCTGCTGGGTAGTGAAAAGTGTCAGCCACAGCCCCAACATTTTATCTCACATTTACCCAGACTTTTCTCTGTACCAGACAGTACATATCTTGAGAACCGCAGTACTGAATCTTATTCACCTTTTCAAAATCGCCAAAGCCAAAGACTGTGCATAGTAGAGATTAGGTGTCTGACACTGCTATCTAAGTGAAAAGAATGACTTGGCCATTGAGTAGGCAACCAATTCACAGAATTTCATTCATGCAAATACATCTTGTTTAAAATTTATATATTTTTTACAGCCAAGTCAATTTGTTTTTCCTATAGTCTACTTCTCTTACTAGGTTAATTCCAAAGATTTTAGCTCATGGCACAAAAAATATTCACACAAAATAGCTCACATACTTTATCACTGCTAAGGTTCATGTTTCTTTCCACTAACACATGGCTTAATTATCTCTGAATCCCTAATGACTCCCATACTTTCTAGTACCTAACACACAAATATTTGTTAAATTAATGGGTTATTTTTGTTTTGTTTTTTATTTTGTTTTGGTACCAGTGATCGAACTTGGGACCTTGTGCTTGCGAGGCAGGCACTGGAACCACTGAGGTAAATCCCCAGCCCAATGAGTTATTTTTAAGCAACCAAGAGTTTGTTAGTACATTACAATTAATGGGAAAAAAGCTCCAATGCAAAACATTTTAATGGGTTGTCAAATATACAGTTATTAGAATTATCTAAATATTACTTATAAAAATTGGTATATCACATTAGATTCTATAAAATAACAAATTACACATTGACAATAACCCCTGAAGTTCAAGAATACCCATCAATAGTACAAATTACAAACACACTTAAAAAAAAAAAAAAGACATTAGACATTTAAACCAAAGTAACTATGACTAAATACATTCATTCATGAAGTACGAAAAAAATTAACATTGCTGCACGTAGTCACTAATAACATAATTTTAGGTGCAATTTCACATGCTTTCATTAATCCAGTTCAATTCCCATGTAAAGTGTCTTTGTGCACACAATTTTTATTTATGTGCAGGTGCATCATACTTAAAGTCTATTTAACTTCATAACTGTTTATATTGTATGTGAACACCAGGCCAAAATTTAACCTCAATACCAAAATTTAAAAATTAAAATTACTGAAAATATATGCTGATTTAATTGTATGAGAACACTATTTCCTGTTATAGAGGCTATCAAAATACTCCATCAGAACTTCAAATTAATAAAAGATGGTGGCTCCAATCTTCCTAAAATATTAATAAACATTTTAAGTCATAATACAATCATTCTGTGAATCAAAACATAATTTCACGTTTCCCTAATTAAAATACCAGTTATTTGAAGGTAAGACTGAGGCCTAAAATATTTCCTTGTGAATATGTAATGGAACTGCCGATTACAGTAATGTTGAAAACCATGCAAAATGGGTAGATAAGTAAAAGTACCTTTACCAGTAAAAGTGAAAAATTAAGGCTTTTTCATATGTTCTATAATTACTACCCGAACTCAAGAATCAAATGGAGATTATGATCCAGCAAAACATTACTTCTAACCTCTCTGCCCTATTGATATTAGTCCCCTCATCCTCAGTACTTAGGGGGAGGGGGTTAAAAATGCTTAGCACATGGTATACGCCCAATAAAGTCCTGAATGAACTAAGAAGCCTTGCCTCCAAAGGCAGTCCTACTTGTTTCTCTATACACTAGGTACCTGCTGCCTATTCAGATAACCAAAGTGACAATTTTTACAAAGAAAATGATGTCTCCTGGGGTATTAAAACATTATTGAAAAAAAAAGGATAATTGAAGCTACAAATTAACAAATCAAGATCAAAGGCACCAGATATGAAAAATAATTACAAAGCACTGTAAACAATTTTTAAAGTAAATCAACTTTTAAGTGTCAAATTCTAAGAGAAAATAGTACTAAATGATGGCAATACAGTAAAATAGCGGACAAAATTTCTGTAATTTCACAATGAAATCTTCCCATTTCTATTCTAGTTTTCTTTCATCCTACAATATTCCAAATTCTAAAAATAAACATGGTTTTAGTTAGATGAAACAAGAAAACAGCAACTTAAAGAACTGGAAATTAATTTTTTTCAAATGTTATAAAATTTGATAAAGACATGACATGATGATCATCTTGAAATTATAAAATACTAAATTATACTCAATCAACATTAAGGAAAAAAGTTCTTAATTCAGTTGAACACAGTCTAGAGTCTCACAATAGTGAATTGTAGTGTAAAGAGGCAAAGTAGTACAAGCTTTATAGACACACAAATTATGAATACTGATTTGAAATACCACAAGCTCCATGTCAGAGCCATTTAA